CTTTTAAACAATCAAATAAACAGTGAATTTTCATTTTTATTATTTCATCAACATTTAGAATTGTACATTTTTATTGAATAACCAAGTTTATATTTTTAGTGAAAGACTTTACATTATTTTGCAGTCTCATTTTTCAGTCAAATTTATGTTAATAATGATAGCATTATTAGAAGAATAATAAATGTAAAAAATTGAAATGACTTTTTTTCATTTTCTTACAAACTAGACATTAATATTGTCATTAAAGCAAGTTTGTAAAGTTACTTGGGATCAATTGTGGTTAGCAAATAATGATAGAAAAATTAAACATTTATAAACCAATTTTCACAGGAATTTTACAAGAATATTTTTAGTTTGCTGGCAACATCACAGCTCACTCCCAGAAACAGAATATTTTGTTTATTTTTCTGTGTTTTAAATCTGCAATGAATCATGAATGATTCACTCCTTATGTTCTTTTTAAATATATAATTTTCTTGTCTAATTGATTGTGAATGGTTTAGCTTTTCCCCAAGAGACATTCAAAAATATCTCTATTTATGAAATACATTCAATTGTATTATTTGTTGTGGGGTCTGATTTCTGATGTAACTCCAGAGAATCAATCCAATCAAAGAATGAAGTGTTGTATGGATCTGGGTTGCAAGAGAAGTGTAATGAGGAAGTTTATTTCTACATTGGCTTTTCAAAGATTTCAGTATCTACTAGGGGTGCATCGGATAGTACTTTTTGATATTCGGCCGGAGCCGAATATTGCTGAATAGTAAAATATGATATTTGGCCGGAGCCGGATACCTACATGTTTTGTAAAAGCTTGTGTTGATGAACATTTTGCAAAACTGTTAAATAACATATCTATAATCGTATTATTTTTTTTCCTTTTATGTACATTTATGTTTTAAACTCTGTTACTGATTGATGAATTAAAGCTTAACAGTATTTTTATAAACAGATAGGCCATATTAACTAATCTGTGTAACATTAGTGTGTGTGTGTATGTACGAGGCCAACAACTGTAAAGGGTGCGTGTGGGCAGCATGGGTGTAGCCTGGTTTTTTTCCCCCGGCAAAAAAAAGTATACATATATATGTATGTACTGGTGTGTGTGTGTGTACATAATTAATCCTTATTACATTCTGACCCTTCATTCTTTCGGAAGACGTTTATTGTGCCCTAGAATATGTTCTTCCTGGAGTTAGTGGAAAAATTGTAGACTCCCCACCCTTGCTAGCAAGGGGGTCTGGGGGAGCGCCGAAAGCTCCCATAGCGTCTGCCCGGCTGCCAAGCGATATTTCCGGTATTGAAAGCCAACAAAATGCATATTCTGAGGTATCTACAGTGCATTATTAAAAAGTTTTATTTAAAAAAACGAATGTGCTATTCTTACTGACTTAGACCCCCCCCCCCCCCCCCCCCCCCCCCCGCACGCGCCATTCAGCGCATTTGGCGGCAAGCTGTTTTATCAAAAATCTGTCAATGGCAATGTCTGAAGCCTCTTCATACCTGCTCTAAGGACCTCCATGAAAGTGTGGCGCCAAGATGTACAAGGATGTCATGCGACGCTCTTGCACAACCTTATTAAGGGGTCGACTCCCAGTTCAGCTTAGGATTTCCTTGATATAGACCCGATCTTTATAACTGGCTCCTAAAATCTGTCTTAGCCATCTTTGTTGAGCCACATTTAGTGTTTTTCAATTTTGGCAGACGACTATTCACTGCACTTTATTAATGGAGCTCAGCCACTAGTAGAAATGTGTAACCTCTCTTAACTACGCTCTTGGAATTAGGTGACTGTAGTTTGCTTTAGATTTTATATCGAAAAAGGAAGTTTTATCGTCAAATCATCTGTTGGGGGGTTTTAAACTAAAAAAATCTCTGGATTCAAAACCCTATTTAGCTACGGTCATAGAATTTGGTGACTGTAGTTTGCTTTAGAATAATATTGAAAAAAGAGGTTTTCAACCTCAAAACTCTCTGTAGGGGGATTTTAAACTCAAAACCCCATTGCTGCTCTGTATGTAAAGCGCATTTATAATGTAAAGTTTCATTTCTATTTATATTAACACGCCTTGTCTTTGTAATAAAAGATGTTTGGTGCATATTCATATAGGCTCTATTTTTAAGCACATTATAATGTTTTAATATAAACATTAATACATTCTACAACAGACATTAATGGAACGAGGTCCACTTTATGCATATTAAATAGGTGTACTTTTTACTATTCAGCCAACTATCCGGCAGTGATATTCGACCGGAGTCGAATATGGCAGAATAGTGAAAAAAGGCCGAATATTCAGCAGAAGCTGGAGCGAAGCAACTATTCGGTGCACCCCTAGTTTCTACACAGAATAGTAAATACGTAAAGGGAGATAATTAGAAAAAGTTTTCATTGTATTTCTGCTAGAAATTTGGTTTGAAAATCTATAGAGAGAGGAGAGGAGCTTGTTTCAGGTCCAAATATTCTGTTCAGTTTATACGATTCAAGTTTTTACTAATTTGAATTTATTCTTGAATTTGAATTCTAGTGTGTATTATTGCTTACTAGTGTGTTCAATCTTTTCATCATTTCTACTTGATGATTACATTGTTTTATTTTGTAATGAGGAATTCTGTCATTTTCTCAGCGTACATCTGAAAATACCATGACTTTTTCATCACCCTATGCCACTGTAACAATTTCAAAGAACTAAAATGTTGAAACAATGTTGAAATTGGTCTTTACAACTAAATAAACTACATTTTTATTTCCAGGCTTTTGATATCAGTGTAATTATATTAACAGTATAAATATTTAAGCATGGGATTTTTTAACATTTTTTTTTCATGATAAATTTTCATTGGTTGCTCCATAATGAAAATATTACCTTCTATAACATAGAATATAAAATGATGGTACTTTACTTCATGGAATTACTTTTTAGTTATGTTCACCACAGAAATAATATTTATGATGATGCGATAGGGTAGTAGCTTTATGCCACCCCGTAGTTGGACAGTAATTTAAACTGTTTTTTATGCTGCAACAATAAAAATGTTTGAAATCATTCTGAGTCTGTAACATCTATCCTCGAATAACAGTAATAATTTAAAAAAAAAAAGAAACTGTCAATGAAAAAATATGTCCATATTAGAATAGACTTAAACAAACACATTTCCTGTGGTCTTTGGTGACCCCTGGCAAAATATCATTTGACCCCAAAGTGGGGTTATGACACACAGGTTGAGAATCACTGATCTAAACCATCAAAATATGTGCATTTATTTTATATATATATATAGTATTTGGAAAATTTTCTGTCAAATTGTTAAGGTTAATTTAAATATGTCTCTCTGATTGTTCAAGCCAAACCCATGCATTTAAAATTTTAATAAGACATACACTCCTTCTGAAATTTATGCTGTTACAAATATATATTATGACACAAAATGTTGGAATTATTCATTTCTTCTTTTACAGGTTAATAGCTTAGTAGCCAAAGCAGAGACAATTAAAGGAAAATATAAACAAGTGGCTGAGAAAAGAGATACATTTACCAAGACTTTATATTTTTTTCCTGGATTGCCAGAGAATTCAATAGATCATCAACAAACTCATTATAATAATTAAATTTTACTAAATATGTGTAATTTTAACATTGAAGGAATTAGAAGATTTTTTAAAGTCACAATCCTTAGTAAAAAAAAAAAACAACTGATAGCAAATGAATGGCATTGAACTTTTTCTAAATAGAAGCAAAATAAATTAAAATGTTTAAAGCTTTTTTTTGTTTATATTTTGTGATCCAAAATACCCTTACTTTATTAATTACATTAATCAACTGAAACTTTTAACCAACCCACTTGGAAAGCTATTTCCCTGACCTTAAAATTTGTCTTTGTGCTTGTGTCGCAGCTTCTTCTTTGATCTCTTTTTTGTGTTGAAGAGTTCAGATTAATAGTTCTATATATGAGATAAACTGCGTATTGGTTTCCAGATCCGGCTAAATGTCTGGTTATTGAAGCTTGAATTCATGCTGACAATGTTTGTATAACCTGATGCCTTGCTTACTGTGAATTTCACATGACTGACGTTTACTGTATAATTCACCTGATTGAAGATTACTGTGGATTTCACCTGACTGAAGTTTCTGTGGATCTCACCTGACTGAAGTGGCTTTAATTTCAAGCCTTTTTTTCTTTTTTTTTTTCTTTGTATTAGGACTTTTTCTGAGCTTTAGTTTAGGCATAGCCTCTAAGTCAAAAGTAACAAAATATGTCAAACAGTAGTCAAACAGACTGGATAATCTATTTGATAATGCAATCAATAACTCCATCAAATGCAACTTAGGTTGGGAATGCAGTTAGTTACCTTGCATCCTGGAAATGGCAAAGATAATTTTTACACCTTGTTAATCCTAAAACTTTGATATTTTATACAGCGGTGTAGAGCCACATGAAGTTGAGGTCTCAGCTTTTTTTTGTTAAAGTGACTTGCATTGTCATGTTAATACAACATCTAAATTCTCCATGGAGTCATAAAAGATTCTTCCAATGTAAGCTAGTGTAAGTACTATGGTTTTTCTATTTTAGTATCTGTGAATTGAACATAGGTTAAAATATATAAAAAAAACCATCATACCAATATTCTCTTTACTTTATTTAATTTAAGAAAGGAGACAGGCTGAGCTGAAACATTTGATGTTTCTTTTGTCAACTAGAAAGTTTCTAAATACAATGACTGTTGTTTTTAAAAACATCTCTGTACATGTCAATGTCATCACTTTTTATCTGGTTAATCATCACAATGTTAACAAGGAGCACATCATCTCAATTGATTGCTTTGATTGATTTTGTTTGCCACTGGTTCCAGTGGATTTACATGTTGATTGACTACTTGAATTCTGTTTAAAAAGTAATGTTTGAACTTCTTTGTATTATCAGAATGTAAAGCTCTTCAGTAGTTTTATTACTATCAGTGCTACTTATATGAATAATTAGTTATTTTGTTTTCTTTTAACATTCAAACTGTTAACCAACTTTAATGATTATACAATATATCGATCTATAAAATAAATATCACTCATCAAAACGTGATCCTGTATATGGTGATAAGATTAAAAATAAATCTTTAAACAAAATATTTTCTAACTTATGCTGCTTCTGTTTTGCTCATTAGAACTATGAATGGTGATGTACAATGAAGTTTCAAATATAGACAAAAGTGAAAGAATTGTATTTTTAGCATGAAAATGTTACAAAAAGGAGAAAAGACCTTTATCTATGCATTTAACCAAAATGCTGCTGAAGTACAGCAAAAAACACATTTGACATGAACATTATGTGTTAAAAAATATATAAACATGTTATTATTTTTTTAAATCAATGTCTTTTTGTGGCTGAGAATGTGTGTCAATATTGATGTTTGTAAATTTCATCATGTTCTTGTTTTAACATGTAGTCTCTACATTCACTCACTCTCTCCCTACATTACAAATATGTTGAACTACTGTTTCTAAAAAAATACCTTTAATGTTTGTAGTTTGTCAGAATGTCATGAAGGACCTTTTATTGATTAACTGTTATACATACTTACTACAAGTGCCCTAGTTTTACACAAATAAGTTATGATGTTTTGTCATAATTATTTTATTGTTTTGGTAACCTAGAACCCAGTGTTTTATTATTGTGCTACTTTGCTGTTAAGATTCTTCCTTGAGAATCTCTAAAATAAAGTGATTTAACTATTATTTTCTATTTATGTCTTGATATGTTTTGTTTGTTAAATGTTTTACATGTTCCTTCAGAGTTAAGATAGTTAATTTCCTATTCCAAACTTCCTGCAGGACGACGGAGAATGGGAGCAGGCAGGGTTTGAACCAGGGACCATTGATAAATCCAAGTGACCATGCAGCCATTTTTGATTTGAGAATACCCTGTTTGTAATCCAAAAGATCATGAATAGTATTTTAAAAGTGCATTTCTAATTACATACAAAAACAAAATTCTATTACTAAAGGAGTGTTATTTGTTTACATGACCTTGCAGAGCCAGATGTGATTGCTGTTGACTTCTTTTCTTTCTTTGGTCCTCATTATATATTTACTATATCTTCGATAATGAGTTATCATAAACTATTTACTGCCTGGTTTTATCCTTTATGCTAGCATGATGGTCTTTAAAGCCCACCTCATTTAAGCTGATACCCTCACCTAGTGTATTGATCAAACATTTAGCATAATGACATTTAATATAACATTAATTGTAGTGATTTCTAAGCTTTTTTATATACATGAGGCAAATGCATCTTCCTGTAGAGCACTCAGGTCTTTGTCATACAGAAATAATTCACATTTGGTAGTGGCCACAAGTGCAGCTAGCTTTAGCAAGTCAAGGTTATTTTGTCTTTGCTATTCAGATATGTCAAGAGATACATTTTTTAGTTGAATTGAATTCTAAACCTTATAAGCAGAGCTAATAGATTTACTAAGTCGAGTGGTTAATGCAGTTAAGTAGAGCTAGTGTCCATCATATTCTTTGTTTTATGGAGGCATAGGTTGAAGATATTGCCATAGAGTGAAAAGTGATGTACACAGGGTTCCCCCACCATTCTGAGATTAGGATTTCAGGAGTTTTTCAGGAGAAAATATTCGATTTCAGGAGCGGAAAAACGCGAACTATATCTATATTTAGTAATAAATATTGAATTACCATACATGTATAAAAATGTTTTTTTTCCTTTTCAAATTAGCAAATTCAAAAGTAACTGATTAAAGAGTAAAAAAGTACTTGTAAACTAATAAGCCTATTTGCACTACTCTCTCTATATATATTGCTTGTATTAGTCAACATTAGGAATTAATTAAAATCTCTAAATACAAATTGCAATGTATAACACATTATCAATATCAGTTACCTATTTCAGTGGAAATCTCTTTCATTGATTGTTTTTATAAACAATAGCTGTCTTTAAATCTATAAAATTTTAAAATCTAGCTCTGAATCATAAAGCTAGAAGTGAATTTGATAGTAAAACCATGAATAGTTTAATTTTATATTATAGCAGCTTATACTATATAGACCATATTACACTATACTCTAAGCCCCATCTACTTCACAATCTAGATTTATAAAACTAAAAGTAAGAGAGAGATTCCAGAATCTAAGTAGATCTCTATTTGATCTAGAATTCTAGAAATATAATCTATACCATATGTCATATATACTTTAAGGCCTCCATCCTAAACTAAAGTCAGTAAAGTCGAATAGTAGGCCCTATAGACTACTATAGTATATTCAGTATATTGGCTACATCACTATCAATATATCTGTCTTTATCTATCATTAATAATAATATCTATAGGAAAGTGCGAAGTTCGAGCAGCCCCGATTTGTCAAGAGGTTCGAACAGTTCACTTTTTATTGCTAAAACTTTTTTATTTGAATGTTTACCAAATTACTACTATATTGCTACTGCGCATGCACCTTTTTTCTTCCCTTCCTACACATACTATTTTCTTTTCCTTGTAAAGGCTAAGTTCATGGTGAGGTCAAACTCAGGAGGTGTGGAGTTATTCTTTTTTACTACCCGGTAGTGAAGGAAATGGGTAATGGGCTTAAGGCTATTTTTAAGTCTGATTGCTCATCAGCTTAAAGAGACTATTTGAAGTTGTGGAGGGTGGGAAATGGTGCAATGGATGGTGTTCTTGCGCTGGAGTAAAAAGAAAATGACTTTATAGTAAAAATTAAATATTAAAACATGTTTTTATATATATTTTCTTTGATCTGTTCGAACCTTCCATCAACCCGATCGAGCTTACTATCTGGGGAAAAATCCGCTCGAGGAAAAGTACGCTTGGCGATACTTACCCTACACCTCTTTGACTTCGTATTTAATTTTAACTAAGCCTAGTGGTACATTAAATCCAATCTATTTTTATAGAAAAAAGGACGAGGAATTCAGAGATACTATCAGTTTTTTCATAGGTCAGACCGTTAAGGTGCTATAAAAATCCAAACTTGAAAATTGCTGCCAGCGGGCTTAATGCGCTCGAACTTCGCACTTTGTAAGTATCGCCAAGCGTACTTTTCCTCGAGCGGATTTTTCCCCAGCGGGCTTAATGTGTTCGAACTTCGCACTTTACTCTACGTATAGTAATAGATCTATTCTACATCTAGTCATTTCTAGGCCAGGCTAGATCTACTTACTTAAGACAAGTCTTAATGACTTAAGTAATTAAGTGTCTTACTTAAGTTACTACTATCTACTCTAGATCTAATTTAGATTTACGGTCTAGTCTTAATTTTAATACAAGTCTTTCTAGGTTTAGATCTAGATAAAACAGATCTAGCATTTTCATTCTAATTCTAATCTAGATCTATGTAGAGGTAAAGTGCGAAGTTCGAGCGCATATTGAATGTCTACCAAACAGACAATTTTGTCTATTTTCAGGAGATTCTTATGACTTCAGAAGATTTTAATAATTTCAGGAGATTTCCAGGACTTTTTCATATATTTTGCAATTTCAGGAGATTTCCAGGAGCTCCTGAAAAATCAGGAGGCCGCGGGAACCATGTCAGGGTAGATGCTTTCACACTAGAACAATTTCATTTGATGAATTGTTTTGGTTCTAAGTTTAGGGTTAGGCACTTATCTGGTTGGGATTGTAGCACATTCATCTTCTTCTAGCCCCTGGTAAATTTCAGTACTGTATCTTTCTGAGTTTTATTGACCAATATCATGTTCAGTTATTTAATCATTTTACTTTTACTGTCAGTAAAGGCACAGTAAGTTGCTTTAGTTAAAGATATTGTAAGCATAAAACCTCCCTAAATACCAGTACCCCTCTTTGTACGTTCGCTGTATTGTTTTTTTTCTACGAATTCCAGATCATCTATCAACCATTGTCATTTCAACCACTGGTAAAAACTGATACATTCAAATGCTGTTTCTATTATTAAACTTGTCACTAATCAAATTAGCAATCTAAAAGAGGCATATCCTAGACCTATGATAATTTAACCTAGTACAAGTATAAATAATTGTTTTATGTTCAGATAAGCTCACATTTTCTACAATAATCGCATAAAAAAGCTTGGCATTATTTTTTAAAAAGGGAAAGATTTAATGTTTGTCAGTTTCGCTTCATGAATCTATTATTATACGGAATTTGTCATGGATTACCATTAATAGAAATTATTTTTATAACTGTATTATGCTTCTGTGCTTAACTCATACTGCAGTTATAATGTAAGATTTAACACAATTCAGCTTCACGTCACAGTACTCAATTACCAAAATACCACTTGTTGAACAAAACAAAGGTTTTTATTTTTTAATAGATTTTTTCAAATTCAATTATTTAAAATGTATTTACAAAACCAAGGGAAAAAAATACAATTGCATACAATTATGCATGTTTAGTCTTTCAGGGAGTAGTCAAAAGCAGGCAGAAAAAAAGTTTCTGGGGGAGAGAGAATTTAAAATGACACTCCCTCACCAAATTGTTCAATTTTTTTTTTTTCAAATGCTTTTCCTGAATTGTTATAAACCAAGTTCATGGTGCAGATTTGAACTTTAAAACTATTTGTTAAAGTTGATTCCCCATTCAAGGAAAATGTTCCCAAGAGCCAGACAAAAAGAAAATCATGAACATTACAAAAACAGCTGTTTTATGGGAGTCACATTCATCAAGATGATGTCAATAATGTCTAACAACCCATCACCAACTGAGTTCACATTTTAACCATGTCCTTCAACCTCTCATACAAATCATGATGATAAATATGTAGTAACACATACTTTGGGAAAGGTTTGGAACATGAGTTTTTTGTACAGGTTTTACTATAAATTATTATTTACACTCACAATAATACATTGGATAAAGTTATAGTCCTGATAACACAAAAAAAAAATCTTAAGTCAGTACATATTTTGAAATTGTCGAGGCTAAAAGTTAGTGTCTAAATCAAATGAAAGTAACTTTGGTGTCTAATACAGAAACAAGAAATTTTTTGTTATAGGTTTCTTTTCCAAAATGGGAAATAAATCTATCAAGAGATCCTCTAAAGTACAAAAAGATAAGGCAAGCAAACATTGCTTTAAAAATAAATGGCATGAATTTTAAGTAATTGATTGCACTCAATCTCACAGAGATGCAGGCAAGCAATATATATATATATTTTAATATATAAATTCAATCACCCAAATCACTGAGCAAAATATACTCAAATTGATGACAGATTTATAAACATGATTAGCAATAGTAACTGGCTTTTGAATGTGTGTAACCAACACCAATGAAAAAGCTATATCTAAAAAAAAATATGTTTTTATAGCAAAACAAATGCCAAGTACTGCAAGAAATTGAATTGATCTTCCTAACTGAACTAATTATTACTAGAGGTCTTGTACTACGATTGAATTAAAATTAGAAATAAAATAAAAAGATGCAAGATTTTGTCTTAACAACTGTAGAAACATTTTGCATATATGTACTGACTTGGCAATTATCAATGCTTGGACACTGAGAAGAAAAATGTATTATTTTTACCATCACTTGAAAAATAGTGTTGAAATTCTAAGTCAACATATTGAAAACATTTTATTTTGTTTTACACAGTACACATCTATGTACATCACGAGAAGAAAAAAAATCCTACCCAAGCTAAATCAATATTAACATTTTTAATCATGCAGTCAGTTACTATGGCCAGCATACTGACTAGCACACTTGTTTCCAATGCGTCAATTTACAATTGCAGAATACAAGACTCTGGAATGGGAGGTCATAAATAGCATTGTAAACAATTGATTTATATATTATTAGCAATTTAGCCTATCATACAAACACTTATAACATTTTCACTATGTACATCATTTTGAAAGAGCAGATTACAGAACTATAGTGGACTATGATTAGAACTATTTTCAAGAGGTTTCTGGATCCTCATTTTCTTTCAACCAAGCAAAAAACTGTGTCAATTGCATTAAGCATGCACCTTTTCCTTCTGCCTCAAGGGGATCAGTACTCTGTTCCCATTTTTTACATGCTTCATCACTGATAATATCTTCATCATTTAAAACATCAAAGAGGGTAGCTATAACATCTGAAATACAAGATATTAATGATGGAGATTTGTATTTATGATAATTACATTTATTTATTTTTTTAGCATTAATGGCATTAGGGTTTCAGGGCAGCCTGAGTCTTCTGAGTCTAAAAATGTCCTCATTACAATTAATAAAATCCTACTTATACATTCTTACTTCTTATGCAACTTAACTTTTTTTAAAATCTATTTTATTTGTGTCATTCTTTTCAACAAAAAATTTAAAAAATAAAACATAACAGAGAGCATTAAATAAATACAAAAAAAAAAATATCCTTGTAATAACTTCACAGTACAAAGCATCAGCTTTTATTGCTAACCTTGTACACAAGGCTTTTTTTTTAGTTTATAACTTTTAGAAGCAAACTGAAAATAACTATAA